TATATATATTACATTAAAATGGCCGAAGCCGGAGGCTCTGCTAGGGTTTCGCCTCACAGCGAACCTTAGCCTCTGCTACGGTATTTTCACGCTTGAAGAAGAAGAGTTAGTTCCTCTGTTTCGTCTTCCGTCGTCAGCTGCGCCTCTGTGCTCGCAGCTCGCTGAAGGACGGGTTGTTGGGCCGATTGCGCTTCTGCGGCTCCGTCCCCTGTTGCTCGTCTTCCGCGGCTTCGACCCGATCGCGGCTTATCTTCCGCGGCTTCAACCCGATTGTGCTTCAGCGGTTTTCTCGTCTTCTGCGACGTATCCGAACAAAACTGCTTCTCTGGCCCGCCTCATTTTTGTTTCGCCCTCTGCTGGACTTGGCAGGGTTACAGTTGATCCTCTTCCGAATTTTGCTCTTCCGTCCACTGCAAAGTCGCTGTTACTTTCGCCGTGCCTCCCTTTTGTGGTGATGGCATCAGACAGATCATATGCTACCGCGCTTGCGGGAGTTCACACCTTAGGTACTCTCAAATTGTGCTCTTTCTCTCCCTTCATTTGAGTTGGCGGAGGAATTCAAGAAATATGGTATGAAGAATGAGAAGTCTGCCATCTTTTTACAGAAGCTGAATGTAATCAACTTGCTTTCTCTTGTTGTCAGAATTTGGTCGGGAAATTTCATTATGGTCATCCCAAAATGGAGCTTATTCGTAAGGAATTTGAGCTTGTGCATCTTGTTGCGGAGTGGAAAATTGGACTTCTAGATGGAAGACACATTCTTATTCAATTTAATAATGAAGAGGATTACACATGATTATTTCCTAGAAGAGTAATCCATATTGATAATAAAGCAATGAAGTTTTTAAAATGATAGTAGATTTTGACCCACAGACGGAACCACCATTTATTTCGGTCTGGATTCGCTTCCTAGACCTGAAGTTTATGTTAAGCCGCTCAAAACAGACATCCCTACTTTTAATCTTTCCCGTTCTTCCAAAGCCAGAGTACTCGTTGAAAAGAACATCACTTCTATCTTTTCGAGAAAATTTGGTTAAGCACACATCCCCATGAATATTGACAAAAGATTGCGATTGAACCTTTCTCTTCGTATTGTTTGAATTATCGTATGTTTGACCACTTCAGTCTCAATATCATCATCTACACCCGCATCTCAAATCAAAGAAGCTAAGTGCTCTGCCAGAGGCAGTGATTCCCCCTTCTTCTGATATGCTCCAAGTTATCGACAAAATTGATCATCAAAAGGAGACCCCTGAAGATGCTACTATCTCCTCAGATAATATGTCAACCTTTCAGGCTCCAAACAATGCTGTAGTTTCCCCATCTTTGGAACCTCCTTTTGTGGGGGCGAGGGAGATATTTCAGACTTCACCTGCCTTAGAACCTATCACTGATGTTATGGATGACAATATTGCTAATGTTTTTCTACCGTCTCATCAGGTCGAGCAAGATGTTAATGTTACTCAGACACATGAGGTTAATGATGTGCAACAATCTACATCTGTCCGACCATCTTTGGACCAATCTACTAATCAGATGAGTCAATCCTTGGATGAGAAATGACAAGGTTTAGACATCCAGAAGAAAGAAGAAGAATGGAGACCTACCTGAGCTCAAAAATTTGATGGATAATACTTTGGTTACTTCGGGTAATGGTACGCACCTCTCCAATTTGTTAGCTGACTCCCTTTCGAAAACTCGAGGCAGAGACATGACTAAACTGAGCCTTCCCTATCTTTTTGCGCGTGTTGGTGACTTTTGGTTTTTTGATCTTATATGTATCTTTCCTTTTTTGGGTTTTGTGTGTGTGTTGTATTGTGTGGGTTGATTGCTTTCTTTTAGGTGCGCTCATACAACTTATTTGTATCTTTTCCTCTTTAATATATATGCCCTACGGCTTTTTCAATATATATATATATATAT